TGGGTAACAGTAGACAGCACCCCTTGTTGTTGGCTGGTAACTGACTACAGTGCGTAACGGTAAATTCCTTGCAAATCACTCATCCGCGGCGGCCGCTTATAGCTTCGGTTCTAAAGTAGGTCAGGAAGAAACGTTTGGAGTGTTTGCCTCGTTGCCACATGTCTGCGTGTTGAATACCAAAAAGCAGATCTGCGAGATTTGTTCGTACCCGCCAAACTATGCGCTTGCGCTGAGTCCTCATTGGATGTCTTTCACCAATGACCTGGGGTCAACATTTTCTGCCCGCGCACGACACGTGCGCAGTAAATATACGTGCAATGGCCATGGCGTTGAGCTACCTACAATGCCTTTTAGAAGTCTGCCTTTGAAAGTCACTATAGAGTGTACATAGGATAGGGCGATGGGTACTAGCAAAGCTGCAGGCTCCAAAGGTTTAATGCAAAACCCGTCAGGGGCGTTTTCGTACAAGATTCTTTTCGAACAGTGCTCAAGGCATTAGTAGCAGTTTTGAAATGTGGTGCAACATGTCTACGAAATTCTCAAGATAAATGAGCTCAGCGATCGCCTTCTTCGGTCAAGTAATTTTTGCGATCTGTGCATAATTTGCACTTGCTTCTATCCCCAAGTGATTTTAAAATTGGAAGCCCTCGTCCGAATGATCCGCAGGGACATCTGTCTGGTATTTCTCCGTTCAATTTACTTACTATACGTGAAAAGCACTTAGCGTCGAGCGAAATTTATGAAGCAGTTGAGGTGGTCCCTGTACGATGAACGGATGCGAGCGCTAGAAATTACAATGTCAAACATCTGGAACGATTTGTGGCAAATATGAAGCGTTTTCTTGAAGGGTAGAGATGCATCTGTGCGTAAAGTCAGCGCGATGAGGTCGGTGTTGTGCCGTTTATTTCAATAAAAATCGATAGGATGCAGCGGACGGGCATCCTTCTCTGACAGATCGGCAAGGCTGTCGGGCCGGCCGTCATAACACCTGTACATAATTCAAGGCTCTACCAAAACCAGTTAGAGATGAAAGAAGATGTCACGATTATCTCAGCAAGTACAAAATGAAGGATATACTTATACTTATTCGTTAAGAGAGTATTCAAGAGGGGAAGAGAAACACACTGAAAATACAATTTAAATAAGTCACAGATGAGGATATCAAAACTATAGCTGAATTAATGAATTAGCGATATAGTTAACAATTATTGTTGACTGCTGTGATGTGAGACATGGCGATTTGTTCATTGCTGTTGGAGGTTTCTTAACGAACATAGGTCATGATGGGTTGCATTGGTTGGACTGCTCTGCGCGGTGCGCGCGCCCTGCACACACACACCCGCACACCCACCTCTCACCCATGTTTACGTTGCATACCAAGTGTGGACATTCCTTCTTCTTTTTCTTGTAAAAAAGTTAAGAAAAAACTTTTAAAGGGAATGTACATCATTGGCTTTTGCTGTAATTTTCAGAAATGAACTATTTGAGGGGTTAGTATAATAGATCAAATATTGTTACACTGACATTGTTGAAAGGAAAAATGTTCAAGTAGTCTGGTTCCCTGACTCCACAAAAGATAAAATGGATCAATTTATAGATGATGGAAAATTGTAAGGCAAGGGAACCGGTCTAGCTGACCTGCACCCGTTCATGAACATGTAACCAATAGCAAACAAAAAAAATTTACTAAAAAAATGGTAAATTTTGAGCAGTAGTTGAAAAATAGTTAGGTTTTTCCAACGCTGGTCGGCCGACCACCGTTGGAAATGTATATAAAAATATCATTTTCTTGAAAATGACTTCACACCAGGTGCCATAATTTTACAAGATGCTTGAGACTGTCATTTACCAACATCCTAGTAAGGTATTTCGTAAAAACTTGGTAGTTTTATTTTTCGATGTTTGCAAATGTTGTATATTCACTTTAAAAAGACCTCATTTTTCTCACACTGTGAAATGTCTGTGAACACATTTTTTTTTCTCTATGATTCCCTTTAGTGTTTCTCTTCATTTTGCCACGGATAAACCTAACCCCAAAATGCCTCTAAATCTGTTTTCCAGAGGGTGGGAAACATTGTATGGACGTGGGCAAGTCCACACAACGTTGCTGTTACCTGGTTTATGTGGACATCTTTTGTTCGGAACTTCCACACAGTGAATGTAATGCTTGTACACGCGCGCGTGCAAAGTAGTTTTAATGCAACGCGGTGTATTATGAGGTAATACACAGCGCGTTGTATATGAAGTAAACGGTACTTTTTATATTGACTAAGCATGTGACCGTTTTACTTTTAGATCGATGAAATTACGGTATCAAAGACTCGATGTAGCGAACATATTTCTAGCCAATAGTAAATATCTGTACGGGTTAACCAAACGTAATATCCGTACTTTGTTAATAGTAGCGCCACTAGGAGTTCTACATATTGCCTTAGATCGAAAGAATCGTTTTTCTCTTATATCAAACTGATCTGTGCTACTTGGACGATGATCGTCGAATAGTTCCAGATAATGTTGCTGTTTACTCTTGTATCTGATAAATAATTGTTTAATAGTGTGTGCCAATTTCTGACCTAAATTAGTGCGAATACTGCTTCCAGCAACGATTGGGAAAGTGCTTAAAACGCCGCGAGCACGAAAAACCCCTAACATCAAGACAGCGTTATCACATCGTTGTCAAGTGGAGAACAGATTTCACGCCTTCTATCATCAAATCTATGATTCCAGGCCAAGATCGAACGTGGAAGTCCTTCGCTAAACATTACCGAGAAATCGAAGACCCCGGAAGTCAATCTCATTGGGAGTCTCGGCGGCTGAGAAGTAGGTATATATGTGTCCTGATGACGAAGGGAGATGCAAAAGTCAAAGGGGATATGCAGTCTTGCTCTCGTTGAGATCAGGGAATGTTAGGGCCAGGGGTGTGATGGAGTGGGGTGTGTTTCCTTTACATGCATTCCGTCGAAGTCATAAGCCGTCAAACAACAAGTTATTTGACGTACCCGGTGGCTACAACGGACGAGGAGATGGAGGCGTGGCAAAACAGATCGTCTCTGACTTATATCCTTATCGGCCATTCCACCCAAATTCACTCTCAGCCAGTCTGCAGAGCCTGGAGGTTTAAAAAAGATAGACAGCAATGTCATTTGTTGTGCGAGCAGCAACATTATACACGGAGGAACACGTACGGCGATCGTATCGTATTTATGACTCAAGACTATTAAAGTGAAAATGATGTGTCCTCGCGACTATCCAACCTCTTCTGTTACTTCGTTTTGTCGCCCAACGATGTTGGTTGTTTTGACTACTTCTTACGTGCACATGCCATTTTGTTTAAGACAAAACTCATTTCTCTTCATCTCAGGCAATACGAATTATACCTGTCATTTCGAGATGCAGTTTGGTGACGAGGAATAAAACCACCTATAGCTTAACATACAGAAAAACACTGTCGCCCGGATATTGATTTTGCAGAAAAGAAATGATATACACTGCAGGGTACAATTTCAAACCGTGTTAGTATCAATGCATGCAGTAGGTGAAAGTACAATCGATGGATCTCCGCAGAGGCGCATTTATGATGCAGACATAAGTAGTACGCTCCAAGCTTAGGCACCTAACACGTGTGATAAATGGAGGGCTGGCAGGACACACAAGGAAGTACTGATTGGAAGGATATTGATGATATTGGACTTTTCCAAGTGCGCGTTTATTCACCTTGTCCAGCAGGTTGTTCTGTGCTCCGCCCCGGTGAAATAAAGCCCGGAAATCCCATCGATGTTGTCGTCAGGCAAAAGGGGCTGTGATGGAGTGGGCTCCCGGATACTGAGCCTGAGCCAAAACGTGCGCGCCATCTCTCTTTCATTCCCTCTCTTTCGATCTGTCCCCGCCCAATGATCTTTTCCGCAAGCAGCAGTCACAATTGCGAGGGTTTGAGAGAAACACAGCGTGCTGTTGCGGTTGGATTAAAGTTTTGCGATGTGACGGGGTGGGCCTTCCTAGATATATCTTTGATTGGCGGTTTTGATCTCGAAGCCATACAAGATTAAAGGTAACACCGACGTGATTGACAAATCACGTCATCAGTCCAAACCCCAAAAATGACATGTACACAAAGAAGTATCAATCTTTTTTCTTTTTGCAAGGCGGTGTTGTTCTCGGCAAATATGATGTGCCCTTTTTTCAACCACAGACGTTTTTTATTTGGTATCAAGCATGATGTGAGCTTTTGCAACCGTGATGCGCCTTAATTCGGTGGAATCTGCCACAGGCTTATCCGTCGGCTACTTAATTAGTCTCGTGAATAAATGATGAGCTATCAGTGGTGCTTGTAGTCTTTGGCATTAAATTACTGAGCACTGGCTTAAAGTTTGGAAATAAATATCCGGGCGGTGATACAGTCGAGTCCCTGGAGGCAAACCATGTAGATTAATTAGTCTGCAAATCCTAGTATCAATATTCTTTCCAGTTAGCGCCTTAGGGTTATTTGTCTGCATCTAAAATTGACATGTCCTTCATTATCTCCTACTAAACAAAGGATTAAAAAGAAGCCTTCCTAACATTGAGATTCTATTGTCTTGAAATGCCATTGTTTTTCCGAATGATTTATTCATTCGACTTTTGTATTTTCTCTTCAAGGCAAGAATATAATGTTTGATAAGCCATGTGGCGAAACCTGAAAAGCACATCTTGCGTTGGGCGTGTCACTTAAAATGAAGTACGGAATTTCACAGAAAACCCACTACTCACAAGGACAGATGAATGAAACAACAAAGAAAAGCCTCTACAATGGAGCAATCAACTTTGCGCTAAAATGATGACCTCCGACTTGAAAGAGAGAATGGCCATGTACTATTATATTGCCTTTGCAGAAATACAATTAGCGGAAAGAGCGATCTTGTGGTGTGTTAAACGCCATATGATTAATACATGTGTCAATCAAGAATCGCCTTCTGTATATATGGCTAACACTTTAACAGTGTCTGCTTTTTTCTCACCAACAGGTCACTGTGCAGGCCACATGTTTCACCCTGGCCGCCATGACAGTTGACCGTTACTATCTCATCGTGCACGCGGTCAAGTCGCGCAACACTAGAACAGTGACGAAAGCCGTCATCATCAACGTAGCCATCTGGATATGTAAGTCATGAAGCTAATACGAAGCAATTTTTTTGTTACAGTATCTCACGCGTACCCACAGCTACTTCTTATCTGCTGTTATATATATGCGATCAGAGTGAGGCTTTATACCAACGCATTAAAGACATTTTTTTATTTTGTGATAAATCATTTGCGTTACTGACATGAAAGGGCGCTGAATGAAAGGGTCAATGATAAAAAGTTTCGTAAAATGGTAATTGCTCAATGGTATACATTCTAGTTTATGCTGTAAACTACATTTTCATGTTCTATTTGATTGTATGAACAATTCTAGCTTACCATCCAGTTAATCACCGGACTCCTGTATATTCATATGCGGTTTTTATCGCGCAGTGAACCCGGTCAAATCTTGATAAGCACATGCTCAGTTGGAATACCGTTTGGGCTGATTGTTTACAATAGTTTTATTATCGAGTGTCTCTGGTGAATACTATAGAAAAAACAGTGCTTTCTCTAAGCAGGATTTAGATCACACTCAAAAGAGGACTGTTCAAACAAAATAACTTACGTTGCTGGAATCAATCCTTTGCTAACACGTGTAAAATATATTGCTCGTCGGAAAACACATAAGCCATCTGAAACTTATACCGGCAGACGGGATAGTGGCATTAAAATGTCTCTATTAGTTTAAATTTTGGTAGCATTTTCCCTGTAAAAAAGTATAAGCCGGATGAGCAATCCCATTTTGAAGACAAAAAAGGCGTGTCCCTTTCACGTAACAATCAAGACACTTACTTTTTGGTTTAATTTTGTCTTTCCACCCCATCGTCACCATGACCGATGTTTGTTGAAAACTTGCTCCGTCCCCTGCGGGGTTGCACGTTCCCATCAAACTGACCTTCACGAACAGGTGGTCAGTTTCATACAAAATCTTAACATTTGTCTCTTTGTTTTTCGCCGTGCCATAGTTGTAAGTTGCTCAAGCAGCGGAGACAAGAGACACACGTGCGTACACAGACAAACGAAACCCCTGAATATGATAAACGCGAATTGTGGTGATTTCGAACGTGAGCAACCCGAGAATAAGGCACACACGCAAAAGAACTTTGGGATGTACTATAGACGATGATAAATCCGACCTGCGAACGATTTATTTAATCGCTTTTCGACAGCAAAAAAAGCAAACCAACTCGTTGGAGTGTAGGCCTATATGCACAATGTGAAGAAATTAAGGTCTACCTTTACCCTTTTTTTTACAAGCATTTCCTATTGAAACCATGAAAAATATATGTATCTCATAACCCTGTTAAACAGGTATAGGCCTAATGATAAAAGCACACAAACATCAATATCACTATTAACAAACTTCACCAATTGTCTTTAATATAAATGCCTTTTGTTTCTTTTACTAGTCTCGGCGCTGATTCACTTACCTTCGTTTGTGTTCACACACCTCAGTAATGAGAAAGAATGTTCGAGACTCTTCCCGAAGGGACAGAGCGGCGCCGATATATACGCCGTCTTCGTGTTTCTGGTGGTGTACGCCTTGCCTCTTCTGGTCATCCTCTTTTGCTACACAAAAATCCTCATTGAAATATGGCACAAACCGAGCTCATCCTCAGAGTGGACTGAGGGGGCGCAATCGCGCGCCCTCACCAGGAAACGGAAAGTCACTAAAATGGTGTTCACCGTGGTGGTTCTATTTGCCCTGTGCTGGGCGCCAATTCACACCCTTAATACTTGGCTTCTCGTCAATCAAACTGTCGAACCGACAGAAGTCATTGCGAACCTGAAAGGGGCCTTTTTGTGCGTTGCATACCTTAACAGCTGCGTCAATCCGTTCGTGTACGCGTTCACTACCACGAGTTTCAGAAAGTACTTTAGACGTGTCTTTCGACTTGGCTGCGGCAAAGTGCACCGAGATGGGAAAAGTAATAGTGCCGCTGTAAAAACCAAAGTGGACCGGTTAACATCTGGAAAGGAGGAATCTGTTTTATAACTAGCTGCATGTTTGTGGAGACAGTGAGCCGGTGAAGGAAAAACTTATCATATGTAACAAGTCTCTTTTTGTTTCTTTGGCAGTCTCATCCTTGATCCACCTTGCTACATTTGTCTTCGCTTACCTGTCTAAAGATGGCCACTGTGAAAGTAGCTTTCCGAATCCCGAAATCAGTGGAAAAGTCTACGGCATGTTCTCCTTGTTGGCAATGTACATCGTGCCCTTGATGGGGATCATGTTCTGCTACGCACAAATCCTGATTCAGATCTGGCGGAAGACGTCGGGAGGGACGGAGAGTGCGCAGGCCCACACAAGGGCGCTCCGCAGGAAGAGGAAAATCACCAGAATGGTCTTCATCGTCGTGGTACTCTTCGCCTTCTGCTGGGCACCTATCCAAATGTTCACCGTGTGGGCCAGATTCAACGGTGACCAAGTGACCAACGCCAACCCGGCGGTTCTGATGAACATCCATGGGTTCTTCTTGTGCCTAGCCTACGCCAACAGTTGCGTCAACCCTTTTGTTTACGCGTTCACGACGACGAGCTTTAGGAAGTACTTTCGGAAAATGTTCGCGACTTGTTTCAGGGGCGCTTACAAAGAGCGTACGAGCATCAGCATTAGCATGACCACCAAAACGGAGCGCCTTCCACCTGGGGAGGAAGATTCCTCAATTTAAAATCTGGACGGTTAACAGAAAGCAATGATTGCTTAATCGTGACAAGGGAATGTGCAAATCCATGCAGAGAGACTGCAGTGAAGCAGCGGTATATAGCTAAAGGATCTTCATGAATATAACAAAGTGTTGCCGTTCACGGAAATAATCTCAGCGATTCAGAATTGTGCTTAACGGTGGGAAGAGCATTTTGAAAGGAGAACATCTCCAAAATCAGAAAATCGCGAGAGGCAGGTTGGCTTAAGTGTCACGCTGGAGTTGAAATCTTCCTGTATTCGCACCACCTTCGGAGCTACGATGGAAATGTTTTCCACATTATTTGGTATTTTCATGTTAAAAACATTGTCGCACATTTGACAATAAATTCTAATTTTAATAGTTGTAGTACACTTGGGGCAAATTAATGATGTTTAGTCTAATTTATGTTTCGATGGTCCAAGGCAAAGAATCTATTTTGTCTTGAAGTGCACAATATTTACCTTTGAAGTGCAAGTAAGAAATTAAAGGAAAATTATTTTTGTGCGATTTCTTAACTTATATAGATCAAAGGACGATTTTCCATTCGTTTTATTGAGCATCATGTCAATATAACTCAATAATATCGAAACTGCTTATGTTGTGCTTATGTTTTTTTGAAAGGTTACTAACGAATTATTGAGTGATTATTGATATCAACAAGGTAATATTGTTTGTATTTAAGTAACTTTGCACCACAATTTATTTTTATATGGAAGAATTATATGGAAGAATCATATGAAAGAAGGTGGGAATATTTAGGCCCTAAACACGATTTATTTATTGGTTTTCATTTCAAGTTTAAGAACAAAAGTAACTTCCCGTCGCTAAATTCGTATGAAAAAAAGAGTACGCGTTGTTAAAACTGCACTCAACTTCGACGTGCCATCCTGTGTAATCTGTATAGGGACAAATCATATTATAATATGTAAAGTACATTGTAAATTTCGCGCGTCCTGATCAGTTGACTAGCTTTGTCAGTGATTCCTCCTTTAGTGGTATAAAATATACACCGCTATGTATGTAAATATTTATCTTCAAAACAAGTGCTTTGTAAAAAAAAAATCGTTTGACTGACACTTGGACGAAACGAGACACCGCCGTGTACAGATTATCGTTAATGTATTCAGTTGTTCTATTGCAAGTGGTGTCATGTGTTGGACTGTATCGTTACGCATAAGTAGATGTTGTCAATCCTAAATGCTACACTTCGAGGTGCTGGATAAAAAAAAAACACTGGCACAGTATTTACTATATATTCGCTGCTCCTTAATCTGGAATTTGAACGCATGTTTTCTGTGTGGGTGTTTTCTGTGGTGGCGCTTAATTTAAACCCATTTCATTCCAACATTCTGTCCAGGCATCGCGTTGACCAAAAAATAGGCACCGTGTCTGTGAAATATGATCTTATTTTTAAACGTGGGACCAATGGTAAGAATCTATTATTAACTGTATCAGGCGTAGCTGGGTTTATACAGGTCGGATCATGACTGTAATGAACAACGTTTAATGACGCTTGCATGTAGAATCATTTTCATTTATCCCAGAAGTAACCTTTCGAATTATTAAAGATCGTACTGGTACCAAATACCCAGTGAATTTTAGAAGAAATCAAGAAATGAAGATGATTGTTCAACGATCACTTAATTGAAAGATTTGTGGAAATATGATATTATTGACGAAGTCGTGTTTCGTGATCAAAGGGTTGTGCATGGTTTTTACTGTTTTCTCGGAAAATTTTAATTTTTAATCAAATTATGTACAGCTGTGTATAATGTTTAATGAAAACAGTATGTTTAGATAATTGGTTACGAAACATCCGTTATGGGGATTTTTTTATTGGATACCTACGCCTGTTGGCTAACACGCCATGCAGCTGTCACATATCCGGATAGAGCCACTTGTTAATCATCACTGAATGATCCAAAGTGCAGTGATCGGTCCTCGTAGCTTACACCCTTTTGGACCAACCGTTGACATGTGCCTTATAAGTACAGACATGTTTCCTGGACGGGATTTATTTAGTTTTGTTTGTTTGTGTATCTGTTCATTGCATATTAGAAATACGTAAAATACTATACTGATCAAAACAGAATGGGACTTAGTGTATATATATATACCCACCGAAACAGTTGCTTAGATAATTTGCAAATCCAAATCAAGTGAAAACCCAAACTTATTTTAGATGAGTGCCAGCGATGTTGAATTGTGGACAACAACATAGGATATTTACTTCGTGTTGATTTCCCAATCTTTACAGTTTTGAGTGGCCTCATCTAATCCTTAGCTGAAGTAGTCTTGGTTGATGTATGGAGTTTCCAATGGGCAATGTGTGACTTTCAGCGTAGGCCTCGGCATCCGCTTTAGCAATAAAGCGCTTAGAAAATATGAAACTTCTGATGTTTAAAGCGCACATATCCATATCAAGGAAGGCCCAGGGCACTCTGTAATATGCAGAAGCAATAGACACCGTTGATGTCAGTATTCAACCAACATGAAGGTTAAAAAGCACTTTAAAAAGAGCGAGTGGTTAAAGGGAACCTATGCTGCTCACATAGGATTTAGTTATCTGTGGCGTTTAATATCAAAAGAGACACTTTGATTGACTTTTGGCTTCGGTGTTATTCTGATCACTTCGATACTTGATACTATACTGTTTGAGATTCAAACAAATTCATCTGCTTTGACTTGTAAGAAATCTCAAATTACCCCTGCAATCGGTTGCTCAGAATGAAGCATATCAAAGAGAAGATTGCTTAGGGTGCCATCATTGCAGGTATTAAATGCATTATGTCCGCCATCAGTCTCCTGTGGTTTTTCTGCCTTGGCCTGCCAACAGTATCCGTCGGTTTGGGTGTACATGGCCAGGAGCGAAAGTCTCAATTTACTGATGAATTCGCAACTAACATGCAGCCTCGCAAGGCACGTGACGTCGTCCCTAAAGCCGTGCTCTGCACGTAAAAGTTTCCATTAAACAAAACCTTGCAGTTGGTTCCGACAGGAGATATCCACCCTGAGACAGCATTATGCCGTGACTTGCCGTGCACGCTGGCGGCTTATTAGCAACAAAGGTTATTCGGACACAACGTCTCGCGTCGTACGTACGTTCTCAGTTCTTTTCTTTACTTCGGGACTTATAATTATAAGGGGGCGTAGTGGCCGTCAGTCGCATATGCATGCAATCAGATACTACCGACTAAATTGTTGGAAACGCTTAGCAAGAGAAGCCAGACGCGGATCCAGAGGGGTGTTTTGGGGGTCAAAAAAACAAACAAGCTTTGCTAAAAATATATATATATATATCATACAAATGCCTAAAACATAAGTCCCCCCCCCCCCGTGACACCCCCCAAAAATTATACTGGTATAATGTCCGCCGTTCAAAATACGGTACACCATTCTGTAATCTAGTGTTAATAATCGTCGAATTTGAACAGCGCCCCCTATTGAAATATGGTACCAGCCCCCCCCCCCCCCCCCTGCGAAAATTACTGGATCCGCCCCTGGAAGCACCAGGCCATAAGAGTCCGGGAGGAGTTTTGAATAAAACATGGTACTCCGACTATATACCAAACTAGGCGTGCCGAATTAAATTATGTTTTCCTTGGACTTGACTATCATTTTACAAGTAAAGAAAATGCTAGTCACGTCTTAGGTTGCGTCAGCGGAAACTGTTATGTTAGACGACAGTCAGTGTTGGGTTTCCGATATTAATCCTGGACGAAACAGTACCGCATATGTCTAGGCATATGGTTAGCATCATGTCTTCTGCGCTGCGTGAATAATGACTCTCAGACGGCAGTCCTGTGGGTGTGATCAGCATCAAATTCAGCCATAATACAAACAGTGATAGCTGTAGAACAGTTTTTCCTGACCATTGAGATATATAGATATGCGGTGACTATACTTCACCGTGCCAACTTTTGAAAATAAGAAAACACGGGGACGAAGTTTACACCAAAAGGGAGTTAGTGCGGGTTCCAATATATACCCTAACGTAAGGTCCATTTGTTCACGAGTGAAGAGTGCATCTATGGTCAAACTAAAAAGAAGTCTTGCTGCTGAAGTCATTTCATTACATGAGCTAAAGAGGAAGGTTCCTTTTTTATCAAACGATTCAGACGAGAGTCACAAGTTACCTCAATTACCATAAATGGTTGATGCTTGAGCGACAATGAAGTAGCACAGGATCGTGTTTCAATCGGTGTATTTTAACATCAGTCAACTTCAACCTCTGATGTGGAAGCTTTTGGTGAATATTTCCTTGTATCAGTTTACATCTCATCGCTTGTTCCAAACGATGTCTCTATATGGATTCGTGTCAGGATTGCAAGCTGCCAGGAAGCAAACCTTGAGAGGCAACGAGCCTCAACTTACGATTGAAAAAAAGACGCTTGCATTTAGTCTGAAGGTTAGGCCCTAATGGCCGCCGTAACTTGACCCAACAGGTACTGCATTCCTTGTGCATGTGTAGCGCAGGCAAACTTAACTACAGGTAAAATAGATTTGTTAAGGCACATGGCAACAGATGGAATTTCAAACGTGTTTTGCAGACATTGTTTCTTTATTAAATATGCATATACATGTTTAATGTTAGAGGGCGGGCCTTCAGTTAGCATGCTAACTGCTGATTTCAACATTAACCTTAGTATAAGGTATCGTTTTAGAAATTGACAGTCCCTAAGCTACAATGACGCTGACGTCGCATCTGAAATAGATATTCTTTGACTGACAGACGCAACAATACGACTCGCCGAACTGACAGTTGGACTGATGGAAATTTGCGATTTACACTTGTCACTGGTAATCGCATTCCTAAGTGCAGCTAGTTTTTCCAGCGATCATCGGAACTGCAGTAACCATACGAGAACATCCAAACATGGAAATGAAATACCTTACCTTTTTGCGCCTTTGCAATTTTTCTCTTTTGTGCAGGGACAAGCCTTTACCAAATAAAAGTTCAAAATAACACCTTTACAACTCTGCACTTATTAAATTGATGAGCAGAGGAACCTTCCTTCTGTATTGGGGAGAAAAAGGGTAGATAGATGTATGGAATTAATTGAAACGAAGTAAATGTGTGGTTTTTCAAAACATACCGGGTGCTTGCTATGTAAACACTCGGCCATCCGAATTTCCTGTACTATTTATCAGCCTTGTCATTTCTGTCGGTCTGGCTTTGGACAAGAGACGCATCCAAATGGTAATCGGACACGGCAGCCACCTGCCACAGGTGCAGAAAATGAAAACTGGGCCGATTGCAGGAACGGCATCCTGTGAACGCGAGCGAGATCGTCACTAGCCGGAGATGGGTGCGGGGGGGGGGTGTCCCTTTGGGAACAGAATGAGCCATGAACAAGGAGTCATAAATACATGCATAAATGTTACAGGATATTAATTCATTGGAGTTATGACTGAATATCACGTGACCAGTAAAATCCCTTGCCAAAAAAAATCCAAATTCCTGTTAAGTTTCTTTTCAGAATTTTAAATATGTCAATCTTGCGCGGCAGGAAGGGCATTAATGATCTTTATAATGATTAATATATACTTGATAGCTGAGATGTTGTAGTATCTCTTCCAACCAACAGCAGTTCATCAAACAGTTGTACTTCGCAGGGTATTTTGGAATTCATTGCTCGTATTACGTTGATCTTGCCTTGTACATAGCAAATGTCATGAGTTATATGCTGATTAATAACTTGTTGATGAGGTGTTTATGAATTAGATGTGCACTACCACCAATGTTCTGTGATTGCCTTTTTCGTTCTTGTATTAAGCCGCTAACATGTGGTGTGCTAACCCAGATTTATAAATACAGAACCAGAAATTCAATTAAGCTGGGTCAATTAGTCTAAGCATTGAATTGATGGAAATGTTCCGAATGTCGCAGGTCTAAATCCCGCCCCAGTCAGTTTCGTTGTTCAAACTTATATTACATAAAGTGATGCTAGTCATGTTCGCTGTGTGGTTCATCATGAAATCGTTCGGAGCTTGCTTTCGCTGATGTACCATTCAATCACCAACTTATAATAGATGCATGTGTTTTAGCGCATACCTTCTTCGCTGTCGAAACCAGACCGCTTTCTATACCTCATCTGAAGCCGTCGTGGGGTTCTGTTCGCTCTGGCGCGGACGAGGCGCCCAGACATGCCCGCTGGAATTACCAATGGCCTTCTCTGCCGGATCGATTTTATGGCAAACTTGGAAAGGTTCGAGATGTTCATGGAATAAGGCTGAGCGATGGCCCGTCGATATCCGCTGTCAGACGGAGTCTCCTCAATGCCAACCCCCAGGGCCCTGCTAAGGATTCATGGCGGTTGTCATAACTGACAAGGCGGTACCTTAAAATACAAACTCTAATATGTATATGGCGAATATTTATTACGACTCCTTGGAAAGTCAGATATATTTACCCAGGGAACCCACGGCACATTCAGGAAACGATAGGGTTCGACAGCCAGGGGCAATGTCACATTAGTCTTTGATTTCTTCGAGTGTAAACGATAAAAGAAGTGACTTAGTGTGAGTGCTCGATGTTCTCGCTACAATGTGAGCACCTAATAAATGGCAACATGAATACTTGTCCTTCAGAGCGTAAGCCTGCCGCGTCGATACATTCG